CTTGAACGAGAGGATAGCCTGAACCATCATGTCCGTGGTGATATGGGGCAGAGAAGGCCAACTGGCACTATCGGAGGGCAACATGATCTCGCTGTCCTCATGCACCGTCCACACCTTCAACCATTTTTTCATTTCACGATCAGCCAACTCGTGTGGTGATTGCTCGCTGCCTGCCTCGATGATCTCCTGGGTCGCCTGTAACCTAGTAAACCGATGCGCACCACTAGCACCGTTCTCAAAGGCAGAATCCACGAACCTCTTCCATCGAGCACGATCACACTTCTCATGAGCAGATAAAATGCGATCATGAGCACCTTGAATGTTGGCAACCACCTGGTCAAAATCATCACGCGCCAGTAGCTCAAACCAAGATGACGGCAGGAAAAATTCAGAAACCCATGCAGGTAGAGCTTGCAGAGTACTTTCACAGCCGCGAACTCCATGCATAAAACGAGCGAATTCCACCAGCACCTTCGCCAGCGCAGAGTGATCAGCACGAACATTCACAAACCTGTTCCCGTCCCGCCAAATCAGAAGCTTATCCACCAACTTGGCTACGTGCTCTTTGACCCTCCTGCAATGGAAGACCCACCTTAGAGCAACAGTCCACGCCCGTAGCTCAGGACCATGATGCAACCGTCGTAGAGGAGGTCGCCACTTGGCCTGTGCCATCTGGGTAAGAATAGGGCCACCACGCCCAGACGTCGACGAAGCCTTTACTCCGTCTACGCAATCATAGACACCCTGCAATTCGGATTCCAGGCCAGCCAACAAAGCGCCCCAAGCCAAGCTCAAGTCGTCGCTGGTTCGAGCATGAAAAACTTGCCGTTCAACCTCGCTCCAATCCAATGGAAATCTCTCACATCCGATAGGCGGCGTCCTCGAGAATGGAGCTGGCTCCACCACCTGTCGAACCCATGCTGGCCTGTCTTCGGCTAACACTGGCAACTCCACAGGTAAGTGAACTTTGATATTGCTGTCGTCCACCGCCTGAGGCCGTCGAACCCGAGTTCCCAAGTTGGCGCACACCAGAGCGTAATCAATGACACTGCCAGGCTGCTCCGATAAGCACGTTGGCCTCGAAGGAGCCGCAACAAATCCATTCACACCTGCCAACCATCCAGAAGAAAGCAAATCAGGCGTGAGGTTCCAATCTCCCATGACGATCCAGTCGCGCCCTATGGCATTCAATACTGCAAGGTATCTCGCGATCTTCACAAGCAAGGCCTCATTTGCTGCACTCATACCCTCACCAGAGATAAGATAAACAGCAATGATAACGACCCCCCCTGGTACCATCCAGGAAACATCCGCAGCAACAATGCGACCTGGCTCCAGTTCATGCTCAGGGAGCTCAGGCGGCGCCTTCACCACGATATGCGTCGGAGCCAGGATGGCGACCCCACCTGATCGCCCAGCAGCCTCCGTCTCCACTGCGCCCCCAAAGAAGCCGTGGAAACCAAGATCACGAATGTGAGCACGCAAGGATGGAAGATGCCTGGCTAAAGTGCGATGCTCCTGAATCACCACTATCTTGGACCTGCACGTCTCCATGGACATTTTGAAAGGTCCAGCACCCTCCACATTGGCAGATGTGATCACACCCTTCAACTTGAGATCAACATTAGGCTGCCGACCAGGCACTTGAGCAGTGCTGCCTCCAGTAATCGCACACGTGGCCGACAAAGCGGTAGACACCTCCTTCGAACCCTCGGTGATACCGAAAAACTCGTCCTGGTCGAATCCGACGTCGTCGACCTCCTGAAAATCACCCTGGCACTCATCCACAACCAGGCAGGTGTCTGCCACCACCTGCGGCTGCGGCAAAGCATACAATGGAATACCATTACGCGGCATCTCAATAAGGTGCATGCACGACTGCAAGCCGCTGTCCACTTTGATTGAAGATAGGCATAGCAGCAAGGCGAGCAGCAACAGCCCTAAGCCCCTCAAGGTCCGTGGGAACATGCTCAGCCAAATCGGATGGGTAAAACGCCTCCAACGATGCACGCAACTCCTCCTCCTTGGCCTCTGCAATGACCTGGTCCAACGACCTGGGCTGGGCGTCTCCTTCAGCTGCTGCAGCGGCCTCTCCGCCTCCTGCCTCAGCACTCGGCGTGCCAGGCGAGGAAACGCCTGCTCCGCCATGCGGCGTGCGAGGAGCTTGGAGCGACTGTTCAGCCTGACCAGCCTCGTTCTTGACCCAGAGCTTGCCCATGCTGTCCGCCAGCACCTGCGCCAGAGCTGCGGCCTGCTCGGAGCCAACGCCCTGCGCCTCAAGCATCTTGCCCAAGGCGCCCACATCCATGGCCATGCCCTTGCCCTTCTCGTCCAGCGATGCCGACTCGGGCGCCATCGGCGCCTGCTTAGTGAGCTCCTGCACCTGCGCACTGAGCGACACCACCTCCTTCTCCTGCTCCGTGAGATCCTTTTCAGCCTGCTCCAGACTCTTCTGCATCTCACCAACCTGCCGTTTCCTCTCTGCCACCAACTCTCTCGAAGCTTCCGCCCGCTTCTCCGCCGTCTTGAGCCGATTCGACATTGTCTGCAACTTCGCATACATAGGCCGAGACTCCTGAAGCTTGCCATGCAAACGCTCCTTCTCCGCACGCAGCGACTCCACATATGCTCCCGCCTTCGACTCACTGCTGTACTTGGAAACAAACGCGAGCTGCTCATCAATCTCCCTGAGCCTCTTGCGCATGTCCGCCTCGTCATCCTTCTCGCCAGCGTCGACTTGCATGGGGTCCCCAGACAGGCGCTTCGACTCGGCCTGAAGCTCCTTGATCTTCGCCTCAAGCTCCCTGATCTTTGCCTGTCCTGCGGCCTCAGCTGACTGGATCTTCCACGGCGGCATCTTGAGCTTAGCGCGGACTGAAGGCTCCGAGGGCATGACGTTGCCCCCGAACGTGACTCCTTTCGCCAAGCTACACAGCACGCACTTCTTCGCATGCGCCATGTTCCACCACTGCTTTCCCGTGCGATCGTTCTTGCACCACTTGCAATACCACCTGCACGCATCGTCCTCGCGCGGCCCCATTGCAGAGACGTCTTTGGGCCACGAGAGCGCCTGCTCACCTGCGGGGCCGCAGGAGGCAGCCGATCAGCTGGGGCGGACCAGCCGTCGGTCAGAAAGCTTGATTCGTCTGGCCGCGGTGACAGCGGTATCCGTGAAAGCCTGGAGGCTGACAGCCTCCCAAGCATTTAGTCTTGAGCCAAAATGGCTACGGAACAGGAGGAGGAGGAGGAGGAGGAGGAGGAGGGAAGAGGAGGAGGAGGAGGCGGAGGCGGAGACGGAGGAGGAGGCGGCGGCGGCGGCGGAGGAGGAGGAGGAGGAAGGCGCGTGGCTCGGGCCGCCCACGCGGCCCGACCACCACCTCGCTGACGCCCACTTCAGGATGGCCGTGAGACACAGACTCGGAGGTCTTGTGCGTGCTGCTGACGGCCCCTGTCCCTTCGAAAAAGAGGACGAACCCCACTGCGCCAGCACCGTCGACACTAACGGACGCCACGCGCTCTGCTGCTCCTATGGCGGCTTCATGGTTCAAAGGCACAACAACCTGCGCGACACCATCGCGCGAGCCCTACGTGAAGCCGGCATTTGCGACATCGCAGTCGAACCATGGATTCGCCCACCCACCGGGCCGGGCAATCCAGGTCCCCGCGCGGACCTCCGGTGAACCGACAGTGATGGCCAGTGGGCTTATCTTGACTTACCGATCGTGCATCCCGCCTCGCAGCAGAGCCTGAAGGCCGGAGGGGCCCACACCCAAGGCACCGCTGCCAGACTGGCCGAACAGGCCAAACGCCGCAAATACAACGGAGTCGCTGGTTTCCAGCCCTTCGGCTTCGAAGTTTCGGGAGCCATGGGCGAGTCCACCTGGAAATGGCTCGCGCAGCAAGTGCTGGAGGGCCCTGGGTGACAAGAGACTCTCAGCCCACCCGCCCTAGACACGCCCCGCCCACCCGCCCTTCCCCCTTTCTTCCTTTATCCCCTCCGGGACCTCGCTTCTCCCCCTGCCGAGGGGAGGGAAAGGGGGGGCCTGGCGGGGACACGCCCCGCCCACCCGCCCTTCCCCCCCCTCCCTATCCCCTCCAGGACCTCGCTCCCCCCCCTGCCGAGGGGAGGGGGGGCCTGGCGACGACGAGGGGCCAGAGCGCCTGCGCCCCCCACGCCCCGCCCGCCCGCCCTTCGGCGGAGGGCGGGCCCACGTCGGGACCACGGCGGCCCTCCCTCGCGGTGCCGGCCCGTTGGGGGCCCGCTGAAGGCGCGCCGCCGCCGCGGCTGGATGCGCCTCGAGGCACGGGCCAGGCGTCGGCCGCGCGCAAAGAGGGGCCCTGGGTAAGAGTGACCTTCCCAGAGATCCAACGCATTGAACAAGTCAAGAGGGAGGCTTTATATTTTTCGGCCTCTACGGGCCCTCGCTGGGCCCCAGGATTGTCAAAAAACGACTCAGGATGAAAAACCGGTGCTGGGGAATGGGTCGAAACTTCGGGGGACCGCGTATTGAAAAAATCACGACGTCGGATCTCGGGGCACGCAAGAGGGGCCCTGGGCAAGAGTGACCTTTGGTGCGCGGCTCTTTTGGGGGCCGCGGGGGGGGGGGGCCAGACATGCGCGCGCGCAAGGCACCACGGCCGCCTCGCTTTCGGCGATCGGGGGACCCCAGTGTGGGCCCGCGTCAAAGGTCACTCCGGCGAAAGGTCGCTCTTACGTCTAGTCGACTCTAGGCCTCGCCTCCGCCCCCCGCCCCCCTGCCGAGGGGAAGGAGAGCCCTGAGATCCGACGCAGCGGAGAACATTGCAAACATTGTAAGAAATCACGCCCGGTGCCCCCGACCCTACCTTTCTGCGTCCTTGCTCGGAGCCGGATCGATCTGTGAGGGTCCCGGGGCCTCGCCTCCCCCCCCCCTGCCGAGGGGAAGGCGACCCGACCTAGCAGAACAACATCTACTTTGTAAAAAAAATCACGCCCGGGGCCCTCGACCCCGTCTTTCTGCGTCGGCCCCGGGGCTCGAGAAGAAGCGAAACCGGCCGGCTCGGAAAAGAAAGTGGCTCGGCGCAGGTTAGCGACGGCAGGTCACGGTGTGACAGAGCCGCCTGCACGCCGGCATAGCTACACTATGTCGGCACCCCCAGCCCCCGCGCGGCGGCCCGCCCACCCGCGCCGCGCCTGCCATTCTCCCATTCCGCCTCGGTGAGGGGGGCTGGATCCCCCACCGGGGGATCGGGGACGTGGGCATTCGGCTCCCTCCCCGCGCGCAGGTTCACCAGGCGCCAGGGCTGGCCGGGCGCCAGGATATCTCCGGGGCCGGAGAGGGGGCGCTGCTCCCACGCCCCGCCTGCTGCCCCCGCCGCCCCGCCGTCAGTCGAACAGGCTGAAGGCCCCGTCCTCTTGAGCAGGGACCGACCGTCCTGGCATTCCTATAGGCCTACCTCGAGATGCTCCTAGGACCCAGAAGTGTTCGACGAACGAAAGCCATGCTCTTAGAACACAAGGCTGCTGTGCTAAACACAGAACATTCTCGGCCAGAAAT